GTTATTTCCAGTTTATTTGTCATTTTCATTAAGTGTAGAGCCATTATCCATATCTTTAGTTAAACCAAGGAGGAAAATAGTTAAAATTCATAATAATTGTGATTTCAGTGACTTAATAAGAATCAGTAACAATGAATCTAACTGTTTAAAAATATTTTTTTATTGTAAACAATAAGAACCACATTGAACGTTACAAGAAAATAATGTAGTTAACCTAAGTCAATGATGAATTTTATGTAAACCAATAATGATTACCTAATAGTTTAAGATTTATTAACAAGTTTGTCCAATTCTTATTAAACTTTAACTGAAACATGACACGTTTTATGCCCAAGACAACGTAAACATAAAGAGTCAATTTGGTTATTAAATTTCCTTCCAAAAGCCAAATTTTTGTTAAAACCTAGCCTACGAAAAGAAAGTTTTTGAAGCCATATTTGTCACATTACCTCACATGTAGACTATAATCCATTTTTTACGCATTGGAGTTTAAATACAAAAAACATTTACTTATTCAGTTACGTCAGAACCAATTAAAAGCTTTAAACTCTTATTGGATTTTGCGATTTATAAGGAAATCCAGTAACAGCAATAAATCCTTTGATCCCCTTTGGCAGTCTCAATTTCTACCAGAGTCGATAATCTTTATTCCATCAACGAAAAATGTTTCGGAAATCCTAATAAATCAAAAAATGTTTTAATAATTGAATCTATTTCATATGATTTAGTGTGTAAAAGGTTATTCGCGATTGGAAAGATGTAGTAAAATCGTGTTATTACAATATAGTAAAGTAGCAGTTACCCGGCGCGCGTTGCTGTGCTAACAAATATTATTTTGAATTGTAATTGGTTCTTTACGATAAATATTATTAGTGCCTATTAGTGTTATTGGAGTTCCTTCTTTTAATGACAGTTATATGGTGGGTTAGTGACAATAAAAAAAATGTACTAACTGTAAAATAGTTTTCGGAAGGGATATGTTTGATATTGAAATAGGAACATCCCAAATCTGATTTAGAAAATTATAAATCATCTATTTTATCACTTTATTTTGAGAACAGTGATTTCAGCGTTTATTGGAGACTTATTGAGCATAATAATAATAAAAAAAAAAACAGGTTAGGATTAACTGTTGAGGCAATAAAAAACCTCTGCCATCATAAACAAAGTTTAAAGTATTACACAATATGTGACTAACGACACCATTTAGAAAACCCAAACTTTACAAGTGTGACTCAAAACAGTAAACTTCATATTTTAATAGCAAATTGTTACTAAAAAAAGTAAATTGTAATGCATCTGTTTAGGCCTAGTAGTGTTATACATTTAATCTTTTGAGGCAAACTCTACATTTATGGTGGTTATAAATTCTACATCATTTTCGAAAAAGCAACATTTCTTCTTTGATAAAAAGACTTTGCTTCTGACTGGGGAATTGTAAAAGGAAAACATTATGTTCCAAAAGTGAGAATATTCTCTAACGGCTACCTTTATTGATGAAGTTTACTGCAGGGATTTTTTATCGAAGAGAATCGACTTTCAAAGGGACCACGGTCTTGCAGGCGTTGAACAGTTTGATAAAAGAGTGCCTTAATTGGTTTTAAGCTTTGACATAAAAGAATAAAGGGCTTGGATCAAGTAGCTTTCAAGCCCTGGCCAGTCGTTAGCTAAAATAGCTGCATGTGTAGTTCACCGTTTTCTAATTTTCTTTTTTTTCATGCATTTATTTTTTAGAACTGAAATTACTAACAACATTTTATTCAGCTATTATAAACAATAAAGGAGGAATAGAATTTATGTAGTAGGTATGGTAAAGGTAGACTAAATATCTAAAGTTTTTAGTTGTAGAAAAGTTACCGTTCATCAAATAACTTTATTTGTATAAAAGGCTTCTCAAATTCAAAATTTATGTAATTTCTTTGTCACCCCTCAGTCGCATTACATAACAAAGTTTGGTTGTACAAAATGTTTTCCTTATCACACCATTTCAACGGATACTCATTATAAAACCGCGCCAATAAAAACTATTTTCAATTGAAATGCTAATAAAATGATCAAATAAAAAAACTCAGGTTGAGTACGGATTTTAAAATTGCACTGCCATAAACTGTTATGGTAATATGAAATCTATCACGAATTAGGCATTCCACTGATTGTTGAAACATTTTTTAACGCTTCTATTTACAACAGTATATTTAGAAAGCAATATTTAAAATATAAATATTTAGATGCAAAAACAGTTAAAACATTCTATACCATATATATGTATATACCATATATGTATATACCATGTATATATATGTATATACCATATATATATATATATATATATATATTGCTTCATATAATAGCAAACTAGAAGTAAATTACTTAAACGCAATTCCAAATCAATAAAAAATACTACAATATTGTCGAATCTCTTATATAATCTCTCAAATAATGGCCTTATAATAACGATTTGTTACCTCAATACATTTAACTGATACTGTCTGGGTAAGTGAACATAAAGCTTATGAATAGATTATAACCTAAATGTAGCGCTAACACGAAATGACTCATTGTAAAGGTGCTAAACTGTTGCGGAGGTTAATACATATTATATAAACTGCCACTAAGTTGGGTAGTAACCGATAAAACTGGTGAGAACATTCCTTAATTGTTTACAAAAGTATAAAACGCAGCTAATAAGCACAATTTGTAAAACTAGTGCACCTGTTGCTCGAATTCGAGCAATTTCAAAGTATTCCAGGCGACATTTCAAAACTAATAACAGTCATAGTTTCCGATTACTTAAAAGAATCAACTCAGAAATAATGTAATCAATCACTCCACTACAGTTATCAAAACTGAAAACGAACGCTCAATCCACTCCAGTCGTCGAAACTGAAAACGAACGCTTTTGTGTGTATCATATGTGTTTACTATGAACAGCCGTAATTGATACAAATTATTCGTCTGTTAAATAAACTAAATCTACTCTTCATAAGAAATACATTGGGATTTTGATGGCCTGTGGCAAGGCCACACTAAAAAAAAACCGGCCGTAATGCTCGTCAAGCATGACGTCACGATAGAAGACGGCAATGACGTAATTAAAGTTACATTTTTGTTTTCGATGAAAATAATTTAACAAGCAGCTGATATCAAACGGCAAACATTACGTCATTGCCGTCTTCTATCGTGACGTCACGCTAGACGAGCATTACGGCCTATTTTTTTTTTTTTTTTTTTTTTTTAGTGTGGCCTTGCCTGTGGGGCAAGGGCAAAAGCCCGAGGACTTTTGCTACAGGAATTGGTGGAAGGGAGCGTCTACACAAAAAATACTTAATTTTGACACATCGTTTTAAAAATCCGTCCATTATTAACGGAGGAGTAGTGTTTCGTAGAAATCGCCTTCACGTATTATATAAGGATTTGCTTAATTTGTGTCAAAACCCTTAATTTTCACAACCATCCCCAAACACGTTAAGTAATAATCCCCTGGTAATTAAACCTTTTACATTTATAACTTTGCTCACAAACAACCGTCGTCGAAAATACTCAATTTGTTATCGAAACATAAATATCGATAAAAATTCCGTTGTTTGCATCAAACAGAGACAAAGTCCATTCAGTAAATGCCAATGTTAAATTGGTGTTTATTTCGCCCATCAACGCACGAGTGAAGCCGACCATTCACATCAATTATTTGAGTCAGTTTATTGACTGTTTCCAACAATAAACACGTTTTACATTTGATTTTATTTGTGTTAGCCCTTTTGAAATAATTGCCCGCATATATCAATACACTAATTATTGTTCAGGTAATGTGTTTCATGTGCAGTAATGTTAATTTTTGCTTTGAAGTTGATTTTTTTAATTACGTATCCAAATTAGTTTCATTAATAATTAGTTCACTCTTGTGTTTCAGTATTAAAATCAATGTGTAATAAATTTAGGAGTTTTTAAATTTTGTATTCGATATAAACTCTTTTCTTGTTAAACAAATTTTCAGGCACAATCCGTCAACGTGTAATCTGCTATAGCTTTCAGGTATTTTTATCATTAAGCTACTTGATCTTAATGATAAATAATAGAAGATTTTTAGGATGGAAAGATTAAGTAGAAAGTAAATTACAATTCAAATCATATGAACTATTAGTTGAGTGGTTTAGACAATACTGTTTTTAGAAGTGGGGCGATTTGCACATAAACAAAATGCCTTTTAGAACCTAAAATAACTACCCAATTTATCCTGAACCCACGACCAAATGCACCACCTAAATCACTAAGATTTTAATGTACCCTCACACAGACAATCTCTTCAACCTCCCCAATGACTGTCTTTCTGTAAATGTGCCTTATACAATTACTATGACACCAGTGTTGATCACTCAAATAGTTCTTGGTTAAATGATCCACAACTTTCTTTTTTAAGTATTTCTACTGCTATTTGAGACGTCTTTCTTGCTCTTTCTTATTTGCTATTTAGACCGAATTCTTCATAAACCTGAGGTATTACAGTTGATTGCTAAATAACGTGGACATCCACAAAACCCCTCCATTTTTACTGTGGTTATCAGTTATCTCTAAATCTAAGGTGTACTATTACTTTCTTGTGTGTATGTCACTCTTTTTCAACATCCTAATAAATAATGGTCATTTTGAAATTAATTCCAGGTGACCCAATCTTTCTTTTTTATTTCATTTTTATTTATCTTCATTACATTGATTCAAAAACTTTGATTAACTGTCATCTCAAAATAGAGAGCCTAAATTACTCTTAAAAATGTATTCAACTTAGTTTTCCACGTTTATCGTCATCCCATCTCTTTAAATTCTCCGTATCTAGTTTTATTTTCAAGTATTTTTTGGACGCTAAAACGTTTTACAATACCCCCTTTTATGAGATTCCCTATACTCTCAACATATTCCATCACGACTCTTTATCATTTACATCTTACACAAACACTTTTTGAAAAGATTTTTGACATTCAAAACATTTTCACGTATTGTTTCAGAATGAAGACCTCATAGTGCAGCACTCAGCATGGTCGGCTACTTGTGGGCCGTCGTCGCGGTGGGCGTCTACATCGCCGTCACAAACGCCCAGAACAGCCAGATCTGCCCGCCCAGAAGTGAGCTGGAGCCCTGCGCTTGCACACCCAAGAAGAACGGTCTGGACATCCTCTGCGAGTTCACCGACCTTCAACACATCAGCAAAGCCATGGCGGTGCTGAAGGGAAAGCCCTCCATAGTCATCTTCTACCTCAAGCTGAGGCACAACAACCTTCCCAAGCTGCAGAGCTTCGTGTTTCTCGGGGTCGACATAAGACATCTGACCATTCACAATAGTTCCTTGTCGGTCATTGAGGAGTCTTCTCTTAGCTCTATGGGTGAGGATAAACATTTTTTGAATTTTTTATCTTTTTAGCGAATTTCCCATATAGGGAATAAGCTATTACCGTAGGTCTCATGGTAAGACTTAGGCCCGGGACCGATTTACTTTTTCGTTTTGAGGTCCCCAGAGGCCAAAAACACCATTCGTTCAAATTTTTATATATGTATGTATATATATATATATATATATATATATGTATATATATATATATATATATATATATATATATATAGATTTATATATATATATATGTGTCCGTGAACACGATAACTTGAGTAATTTTTATCCGATTTTGATTAAATTTGGTTTGAAGGTGTAAGGCGGGATAAACTTGAATGAGTTCGCGATCCAGCATGATCGGACCATGGGAACAGGGTTTTATGGGGGGTTTTATGGGGTAAAAATTGGTTTTTCTCACTTTTTACCCTCAAAACACAAAATTTCCCAATTTTTCTCTAAACCTTCTTAAAGAGCTTAAAAAAACGAACAATTCAGTATATCAAAGTGTTTTTGTACGGTTATTGGTTACGGAGAAAACTAAAAAAATTTTAAATTTAAAACTCCCATGTTATTCTTATGGAGAATATTGTAAAATGTTGTAGTTTGCTTGTTTATGGATATATTTTGATCAAACTTGGCAAATGTATTTATTTTATAGTAAGCTATCAATATTTTATTAAAAACACACTACTTTATTAGTTTCCTTGTAGCAGCAAACCTAGGTACTCGTTAAACCTAATGTTATTTAAATAGATCAATTGAAAATCAATTCGGCCAAATGGAAATTCGCTTAGACGGCAGGTTTGCTGCGGCGGGGGTATTTTAAACTTTAGTGGTTTTTACGGTTTTACAACGAAGGGTAGGCCCCATGGATAAGGAGGAGGTAAAACGAATGGTTTGTTAATAGATTTGCTCTCCAAAGATCACCATTAACATTATGAAATGTTTAAAAGGTACATTTTAGCAAAGTTTGAATAGTTTTACCCTCGGACCACGGTTGGGGGGCCTGTGAATCCAATTTGTTATCAGAAGCTCTTCGTTCTCTAAAAAACATTACCATATGAACTTGTTTGAGCTTATTCTAGAGGTAATCAATCCTTTGAGGTAGCTGTTATCCTTGGGAAAAAGCAACAACCACGGATTACAGTGGCATCAAAAAGGTATTTCACCTCTAGAATAATAGTGTTAAGTAATCAGGAAGTCAGCACCTCAAACTTGAACTGGTAGAGCTATACAGATTTTATCTTGACATTTCTAGCAGCTGCATATATTTTCAATATTCAAATAAGGGGATGGATTGAATTTTGGAACATTTTCAATTTTAACTTGATAATATATATTTATCCTTAGTTAACTTTGGTCAGGTGCCTAACTAAGCAACAAGATAGTTGGTAAAATCAAAAGACTAAATGCAGTTACGTAATGTTATATAAATAAAGGTTTTAAGCTTTAAGTGGAACCAAGTACCAATGTTAGACTAACTTATTTATTTTTGAAAAAGTATATCTCTGAAACTTTCAAACCGAATAGAAATTGAGAGCTAAATTTAGCACAAAGTTAATTATGAAAAGAGCAAACAAAAATATTTCCCTTTGAACATACTAAAATTGTACCCGATTTCGTTCAAAGAGGTACTCAGAATCAAAAGCAATCACATAATATTTCTGACTCACAGATATATTGCATCTGAGGAGTGGTTTGTAGCTTTGAGACAAGACATGATTTGATTATGATGCCATCAACCGACGTATGGCAGACACATTCGCATGAATCTACATTTTAATGGACTGTCATTGTATCCGTACTCATGTCATTACTTCCACCTGTTATATGCATATTGATGGAGTTAATAATACACATGGATTTACTTAAAATAGAAGTGAAATCTAGATTTTGTAAGGTTTTCGGTTTGCTATTAATATTATTTTTGAGTTATTGCTTCTGATTAATCAGAAATTTTAGTTCTCTTCTTGGAGGTTTATGAACTCATGTTAAACTTAAGACTATGTATTTTAATCGGGCATTGTACTTTATTTTAGCATTGAACGAAATAAGAAAATAATTGTTTTAGAAGGTTTGAAGAAGGGTTTTGAATCAGAAATAACACAGAATATCAATCATGATATCCATTTGTTGTTCTGTCGTTTTACATAGTAATGGAATGTTTGCGTTTGTAATTGTATTGATTTTTGAAAACAAACTTGAATACATTAATTACAAGTAGCGCCTACGTTTAAATGATAAGAACAGATTTTTTTTTTTCATTGACAAAAATTAGATTAGTATACGATTTGGCAATCACTAAAAGTATTCAATGAAAGCTCCTTTGTACAAAGAAAAATTAACTGGGCTACCCTATGAATTGAAAATATCGATTCGATTGGTAAACCCTCGACTTTTTCATAATCAGCAAGTTTGGTTAGGTTATGTTATAATAGTTTCATTTTATCCCTCAAACAATTTTTGCTCATCCTGCCCCCCCCCCCACCTGGTCAACCTATCCACCCCCAAACCCGCCACAGCGTGGAACCAGTTCCTGGCGTGACACTCGCCCCACCAAGCCTCTGGCTGTAAAATGACCCTCGTCAAAGTTTTTAGGCAACTGGCTCTAGGCCCTGTACTCTATATGTTGTGACACAACTAGTTTTACACGTATGCATACTCTTGCGAAACTCTATACCACATTTTATGTAGATTAGCTAACAGATAAATCAATTTCTATAACACTTTCCTTCACAATCCATTTGATAACCTATTTTTTGCAGGTAAAGGACTGACTCAGCTAGATCTGTCCCAGAACAAGTTAAATCTAGTCCCGTCTCCAGCGTTCCGCAACCTTCACCACCTTCTAATACTGAACATGAACCATAACCGTGTCAACGCGCTGCACTCCAAGGCTTTTGAGGGGTTGGACACCCTTGAGATTCTCACCCTCTACGAGAACAAGATCACCAACATCGAGAGCGACGCGTTCAAAGGATTAGACAAGTAAGTATACTCCGCCATCTGCACGCTTCTCCCGCTTGGGCTCGGCGGTCGAATTGAATTTTATTTTTACAAAATGGATTTTTTTACCATTTATGCATGGGGTTTCAGTTTGCCCATTTTATGTCTACTGATGGCCAAGTGTGTAACGTAGGTTTAGATTGTTGAATCATAGATACATACTCCTTTAGTAGATTTGTCATCCTTACGGATAAGTCGAAGACAATTTTATTGTTCTGTACGGTGAGGTGTAGAGGTCGTAATTTAGTTTACAATTTGTTTCTTGTTATTTAAGTCATTAAAACCTCGTTTTACCAAATTAAACGATCCAATCACAAACAATAACTCGTCCCCTGGTTATATAACCAAACAGTAGAGCACAAATATTCAATATAACCTTAAAAGAATAGAAACAAAATTTTGTCGATATTAGTACCCAGTGTCACCAACATGAATTAGACACAAAAAACGAGATTCAAATTTTTACAGCGGTATAAGAAATCTACTTGTGTTGGTTAGTCTATGGTTGAAAGTTGCCGGTTTCATCTTGAGAAAGACTACTATATTTTGATAGGTTGATATTGGAGACAGCTGCCCGTGTTAGTTGTTTTATTGATTCGGCCGGGGTGAAGTAAAAACTGATCTTAGTCGGTAATATTATATTTCATTATTAGAGCTTTAGTGATTCTTTTAAAAACTTTTTCAATTTTAACCTTGGTTTCTTCCTGTTCGTGAACCGGCAATGTTGCGTACCCTTGTTAAGCCTATCCCACCAAAAGTAATCATTTAATATATGCTACCATGTGTTAAATTGTAAGTGTCGTGTATTTAACTATCAACGAAGCTCAATAGCGGATTTAACGTGATTACTGGACTGAAGTGTTTGAACATGTACCACTAGAATGCTACAACGCAGAACTTATGGCAGATAATTAGTAAGAGTACATACAATTTTCCGTTTAAAAATAATACAAAAACCTCCCCTTCACCTTAAGCCTTTTCCATTGAAAAAAATATTAGGTAACGTCCTGGATTTTTGTATTCTACAAGCATTGCAAATACTGCTTACCAATCATTACAGATCACTGCCCCTTCCACCGCAGTGACAGACGTGGTGGCCTTCCACTAGTAGTTGCCACCTCCGTATTTGTCTTCGAATTTATTTTATTTCATTCTATTATTATTGTACATGTCATTTAGACAAGCGTTAGCGTTTAAGTGTGCAAAACTATTTATACAATGTGATAAACAAAATTTCCGTCATCAATAAATTACACATGAGCATGTTCAGCTTTAGTTTCACCGCGAAAGTTGTTTAAAACAATAAAATACTAAGAGAAAACCGAGCTAAACAATTAGTTGCATACATTGAATAGTTTTTGTCACGAAAACAAACATGAATACTCAAACTAGCTCTCATAATTACTCTTGAGGCCCTGAATGGTACTCTGTAAAGCCATTATATTTGCATATGACATGAAAATACCATCAATGCTGCAAGCATCCGTTCATCTTAATGACTGTTACCAGGTGTGCTTGGAAGTGCTATTGCTTGTTTGCTTAAACTTAACTGGAGTTTAGTATTCACAGTGTAAACTTTGCAGTATGTATAATAGATATACCAAGTATGTTTAAACACCCCATAGTTTTCTTTTTCATAATTAATTAATTTAGAGTTTTATCATTAACTATGTAAACAGAATAAATTAAATAGTTAATAAAGGAGATGTGAATGAATATTAAACATTGGGGAATGCAGTGATGCTGATAAACTTCCTTTAATATGGTGAATGTAAATTTAAACTAATAGTTGAATGTTTGACCACGGTTAAATTGTAAACAAGAGATAACACTGTTAATGAAAATTAATGTTAAATAGACTACTTTCTTATAATTGCAGCCTGACTGAGGTAGGTAAATCAATCCTTATGGTGTGTATTTAAAAAGCACCAAATACAATGTTTGTAATTTATTAGTTTTATTCGCTTTATAACTGTCTAAAAATACATCTTTGGAAATCGAAAGGATATCTAATTATTCATGTTTCCTCGAAACCAAAGTGTATAAAAATGTACAATTTGTTCACTGGCCCCTCGTTCACATTTAAAACTGTTTATAAAGAAACTTAATCAGAAACACTGGACCTTCAAAAGAACTCTCCAGAAATAACACAAAACCTAGGGGGCGATGGCCTCAAGGCCATACATTGGCATTTTTGAATTAACATTCGTAACTCCGTTGGCACATAAGCTTTTAAATGACACCTCAATTTTATAAATCAGTTAAGTAGAACGGGTGGAAAATAAGGGACTCGCATGTAAAACACTATCTCGCCCCGAAATGGGACTTTCGTGACGAGTATTGAACGATACTTTTCATCAAAAAAAAAAACTACTTCATCAAACTTAAATAAATTATCCGATATTTCGTAATCTATACATTTTTCCAATCCAAACACAAAACGGCTCTACAATTAATGTTAGTGTAAAATTCAGCTGATTGAACATCAACCAAGCTTTAGTGTTTGTTTTCTGTTTGTTTGTCCTTTTGAGCTAACCGGGAACTTCAGTTGTAACTTTGTTGTTGTTGTCATTGTTTGTGTAGCGAAAGTAATGTTTATGAAAAGTAAGCTGATCACTATTTGTTTTAGGTGTATGGAAATTGAAGATTTTTTAAGATCTCACCTGTATGGAAATGGGCTATTTTCGAATAAAGAGTGATGAAAAGGGATGTTACAGAGAATCCCCCCCTAATTTAATCACTGTGAAAATACTAAGTAAATAATAAAATAAAATTATTGAACCGATCAGAGCTGATACTTTAGCCACAAAAATGAAACAAACCCCCAAAAATTGATGATTTCAACAACTTTCATCCTTCCAAACATCTTCTTGACTAATTATTTCATCTTCCAGGAAGCTAAAGCGACTCAATCTCGGTGGTAACAAACTGACGAGTGTTCCTCAAGAGGCTTTCTCAATTCTTGACACTCTCAAGAAACTGGAACTTCAAGAAAACAGCATCACGTCGATAACCGAGGGGGACTTTGAGGGTGAGTGGTTAGAGTTTGATAACAGAGCTAGAGGTCTTGTTAAATTGTAACTTTTCTAAGATCTTTCATAAGCAAAACTAGATGTCTAGTTATGTTCTGTAGCCTGTCTTGCCTTGGAGGCAGATTTTCTAAAAGTCTCTAATTGGTGACAAAGTGTAGCATCATTTCAGTGGTTTGTTTGTGTTTATTTGTATAGGTTGTAAGTATAGTGTAGTGTACTAACCAATTTTATTTTCAATATTTTATATTTTTCAAATTTAACTCAGTGTGTTATTAGGTACTTGATCTTTCTATTGTTGTATATAATGTTTGGGGTTTTTAATTTGTTATTTTTGACTGGCCTACCTTTTGAGCGCTAATTATATTAATGTAGTAACCAATAATTTCCCTATAAAATGAAAGGAGTTAATTCACCAACAGAAACGTGGTGTAGTTTTGAACACAAGAAAAGTTGGAACGATCCAAAAATTGCGATTATTTCAGAACCAACGTCAAAATAAATTTTAAAACTCTCTCTCTCTCTCTCTCTCTCTCTCTCTCTCTCTCTCTCTCTCTCTCTCTCTCTCTCTCTCTCTCTCTCTCTCTCTCTCTCTCTCTCTCTCTCTCTAACTTCCGGCCTGGCGAGTTGGCGAACGCATGGCCCGGCTCCTAGGAGTCGCAATAGCCCAAACCTTTTCTCCCCTAAGGAGATTAGGCTGTATTTTACAAGCCAAGTTTAAGGGACGTTGGATGGATTTGTACTATCAACCATAGATTGTTGATAGCTAGGCTGACATCCCGGGTCTTGACCTAAAAATCCTAGGTCTTGACCTGACGTGTGAAACCAAAAACCCAAAAAAAAAACAAAAAAAAAACAAAAAAAAAAAAAAAAAACACAAAAAAAAAAAAAAAAAACAACAACAAAGCAAAAACAAAAACTCACAAAACGTTTCACACGAGTCCCGACCTTCACTGCCAGAACGTGCCTGCCTACCCCTGGCTTTGAAGTGGAATCAAGGGAAATCAAGTAGCGGTCTGTTGAACAGAGGCGGTGTGTGAGGGGTCTTTAAAAAACACAAAGGCGGATTGGGTGTCCGGGGACGTCATGGCTTGCCCATGGCAAACGGCCCTAAATCTGAGCTGGTCACCATTTGTGAACCAGACCTCCCCTTGCATTCTGGTCGGGGTAATGGGGGACGCTAGTGGGGATACCTTCGCATGCCAACTCCAGACCTAAGCTTGATGGCAGCCACTGCTGTGAAATTGACAACAGTGGGGGCCACCGTGAGTAAGCAGCCTCGCCACGCTGAAAGCGGTGCTTCAAAATTGTCAGAAATCGGCTCAAGAACCATGGGCATATGCGGGTGCCTGCGACTGTGATAGGTGGGCATCGGTGTCCGAGGAGGTTTGGCCTGATTGGTGAAATGTAGGGCCTCGGTCGATGGACGGCGCAGGAGTGATTGGCAATACTCCTATGAACCGGGGAACACAAAAAAACCATCACTAATGAATTGTATGTAGTTTTCAGGTTTCAGTTTGACCTACACCAAAGAGAAGCTTTTTAAAAGATTTTTATATTACATTAATTGCAAATCAAGATGTCGGCTGATCAATTGAGAACATTGAAGGAGGATGAGGCTAGGAGAGAAGAAGCCAGAAAGGCTGAAGAGGACAGGATAGCGGCGGAAAAGGAGTTCCTGGAAAAACACGAGAAGGAGAGGAGGTTGAGTAGCTCCAGGGGGTCCGCGTCTGCGTTGGGAGGAGGCTATCGATCGGGGACCAGCAGTATGGCGGAGTCGGAGTCCGAGGCGGAGAAGCAAAAGAAGAGGAATAGAAGCCCTGAGGAAAAGGAGAAAGAGAAAAGGAGGAAAGCCAGGAAGACTGAGGATTTGGAATCGGATGAGGAAGAAAAGGTCGAGGATGAAGACCCGTTAGTTTGCTTGAGTTTGGTTCTGGGTAAGATGAAGGGATGGTTCAAACAGCCAACCATCATGAAAATGGTGACAAAGCCTCAGACAGAGAAGTTTGGAAGGTACTTGAACCGGTTCCAGGAAGAGCTGATTAGGGCAAGAGAGGATAGAGTCCGGATTGAAACAAGGTTAGAAGAACGAAGAGAGTTTTTAAAGATCGTGAGCTCCACCGTGCGACATGAAATGGACAATCTGAAGGACAAGGTTGTTCCAGGCGCGGCTGGAGTGAGCTACTCAGCAGTGCTGAAGAAAGATACCCCAATGGTTCCAAGGGTAACTGGAATGAAAGGACCCGTAGTCCAAGCACCGAAACAAATTATAGTGCGGCATGACACCTTGGAGACTGAAGAAGTGACCAAAACCTTGAAAAAGTTAGTACGGCCTTCTGAAATCGGCTTGAAAGTTAAGAGGCTAATAAATATCAAGAATGGTGTGATTATTGAAGCAGAAAATGAGGATGGAGTGCAAAATCTCATGAAGCAAGAGACGTTGAAAGAGGCAGGGTTGAAAGTAGAGCGTCCGGAGAAGAAAAAACCTTTCATCATGATTTATGATGTTAGTGCTAAACTGACGGAAGATGAGGTCAAGGAGGAGATTTTCTCCCGAAACATGGGGGAGAGCCTAATTGTTGAGGCGGATTTCAAGCAGGAGTTTGCGGTAAGACATAGGTATAAGGATTTAAGATCGACAGGCAAAAGGTGTCATGTTGTGGTGGAATGTTCTGTACGGGTGAGGAACTGGCTAAGAAGGAAAGAGCGGATCTTCGTAGAATGGCAAAGTTGTCGGGTGAAAGACTATGTGGATGTTGCTAGGTGTTTTAAGTGTCAGAAGTTTGGACATGTGGCAAAGCACTGTAAGAGTGAAACCCCTGCTTGCTCCCACTGTGCTGGGGAGCACGACTATAAGGACTGCCCCAACAAGGGTAAGAAGGAAAAGGTTAGATGTATAAACTGCGTAAGAGATAAGAAGGAAAATAGCAAGCATGAAGCTGGGTCAAGGAAGTGTCCGGCCTATGAGAAGGCAGTCAGACGGCAAAATGAAAAAATAGATTATGGATTGTAGAATTGGGCAATGGAATCTAGGGAGAGGTAAAGTTGCTACAGATGAAGCACTCAGAAGATGTATAGAAGAAAAATTAGATGTCCTTCTTGTCCAAGAGCCATACGCGGTAGGGAGAAAGGTGAAGATAGCTGGTTGCAGAGTATTTCATGACAGGAGCGGAAGAGAAGATATTTGGAGTGCAGTTATTGTGATGAATGATACCATTGGCGCCATAATGGTAGCTCAGGAAACAAGTGGAACGTGTGTCAGTGTTAGGTTACAGCAGAATGGAAAGTCAATGCACGTGATCAGTCTTTATTGTAGGCCGTCGGAACCCATTGAAGGTCACTTGGCATGGTTAGCTGATATAATAAGGAAGAAAGGAAATAAAGAAGTTGTTTGCGGAGGGGATTTAAATGCAAAATCGGGACTGTGGCTCAGTGGTTCAACGGATGAGAGAGGGTCGAAGGTGGAAGATGCTGTAATGGCTTGGGATCTGCACGTGGTGAACAAATTTAGTAGATGGACGACTTTTGAGAACACGCAGGGAGGAAAATCGAACATTGACGTGACGATTACGACGAGGGATCTTACAGGAAGAATAGAGGATTGGATGGTTCATGAAGAGACGCTAAGTGATCATAGGCTTATAACAATGAAATTGCGAAGGGATCAAATTAATCGGAGACATGAGAATGAACAGAGACAAGGGTCATACTGCTTAAGGAATGTAAATTGGGCAAGATTTGATGAAGCCTTACAAAGAGGTATACAAGCGATGGATGTTGAAATGGCTACAGCGGAAGTTCACGCGGAAAAGATTACGGAAATGACGTGCAATCTGATGGAGGAGCAGTTTCCAAAAGCGAAAGTAGGAACAAAGAAGGTGTACTGGTGGACAGAGGAGCTAAATGAATTACGAGTGAAGATGAGAAGGAAAAGTAGGATCTGGAATAGGACAGGAAGGGAAGATGATAGGAGAGCGTTTGTTAGGTCAAGAACAGATTACGTTTGGGGAATCAGGAAGCAAAAGAAGAAGATGTGGGAAAAGCTAATTGCGGAGGAAGAGGGCGACCCATGGGGAAAGGTCTATAAGATTGCTGCAGAGAAGCTGAAAAAGGATACTGTGCTGGTTAGCCTGGAAAAAGAAGACGGCACAATGACGGAGACAGTGCAAGAGACCCTAGAGAGAATGATACAAGGATTGCTGCCAGATGATAGGGAAGAGGAGGATACAGAGGAACAATCAAGAATCAGAAGTAGGATGACTGATGAAAGCACCGGAACAGATGAGGAAGATTTCACTGAAGGAGAGCTAAATGCATGCGTTGCACTGCTGAAGGATAGGAAAGCGCCGGGAATGGATGGAATAAAGAACGAAGTAGTAAAGAGAATGTTTGGAAGGATCAAGGGGACGCTGTTGAACCTGTACAACAAGATGCTGAGAGAAGGCAGGTATCCTGATGTGTGGAAAAAAGGAATCGTCAAAGTTTTTCTAAAGAGCGAGGAAAAGGACCCAAGCAAGGTAAAATCGTACAGGCCAGTAACCCTCTTACCTGTCTTAGGAAAGTTAGGCGAAAGATTAATAGTGAAAAGGATGAAAGAATGGATGGATAGGGAAAATAGGGCAAATCCACTGCAATATGGATTCACGGAAAGTGTTGGAACTGTAGACGCACTTCTGGATATGAGAAGAGAAGTAGAAGAGACAGATGAAAAGTACGTAGTAGGCTTGTTCCTGGATATTTCTGGAGCCTTCGACTCCGCCTGGTGGCCAGAGATTCTGAGAGTTTTGAGGAGATGGAGATGTCCGAACAACATCTACCGATTGGTAAGGGACTACTTCCGAGGCAGAACCGTGACACTAAGAGCTGGCAACGGAGAGGTGAACAAGAACATCACTAAAGGATGCCCCCAAGGGTCTGTGGTGGGCCCTCTGTTGTGGAACATCCTGTTCGATGGGTTTTTGCGGCTGCCTTTCGAGGAAGGTATCTCCGCGAGAGCCTATGCGGATGACGGACTGCTTTTGGTGAAGTCGAACACAAGCCCTGATCTCATGAGGAAGGCATCAAGAGCCTTGGAACTGGTCACTAGGTGGGGGGAAGACAGGAAGATGACTTTTTCGAGGGAAAAGACAGTGATGGTGCTCCTGAAAGGAAGGTTGGTTGAAAGATTCATCCGTGTCGACATGGGAGACGTGACAATTCGGTGTTCAAATGAGACAAAGTACTTAGGAGTCGCAGTAAGAAGTGGATTGAAATTTGCAGGACATTATGAGCAAGTAATCGACAAGACTATGAAGGCATTCGGAAAGTTAAAAGGACTGGCCAAGGCAAACAACGGCATGAGATGCGAGAACTTGAGAAGATTGTACATCGGTGCGCTTGAACCAATGATGCTGTACGGCTGTGAGATGTGGGGCCAACGAATGAGGGGACGAGGTGAGAAGTCTAAGTTGATGAGTCTGCAGAGAAAACTGTTGTTGGGTGTGATCAAGGGCTACAGCACGATATCCCACGAAGCTGTCCGAGTGATTGCCGGGGTCATCCCGCTTGACTTGATGGTTGAAGAAAGGATTAAGAGAAGAAGGGACAAAGAAGAAGGTATCGACATCAAGGATAGCATGAGGATCCGAAGAGAAGAAACACTCGTTGACTGGCAGAGACGGTGGGAGTCTAGCACAAAAGGAAGGGAAACCTTTGCGTTCGTTCCGGATGTGAGGTTCAGAAAGAAAGTCCATTGGGAAACCGATCACTACACGACACAGTTCGTCAGCGGACATGGCAACTTCAAGGCAAAGCTGAAAAGTTTCAACCTCGTCGATGATGACCATTGCACTCATTGCGGAGAGCTGGAGACATCGCAGCACGTACTGATGGAGTGCCCATTCTATGAAGAAGAAAGAAGCGACATGAGGGAATTCCTCCAACAAAAGACATGGGATTGGGAGAAGATCAACTTCTTGAGAACCAAAGAATCTGCGCTGGAGTTTGCCAGAATGTGCCGAAGGATAGGAAAGAAAAAGCATGAATTTGAAAATGCAGGAAGACAGGCTGGAATTTGAAAAGAAAAATGTTAGGAAAGAAAGATAAAATTAAGAAGATTGGAAAGAAAGAAAAAAAACAAAATCCGATGACCCTAGTACAGAGGGTACTAGGTGAGGGGAGAGGTGTTGGTTAGGCACAGAATGTGCCTGGAAGGACATGGATTGAAGCTGACAGCAGGAAGAGGAATCCGAAGATATTTCAGGAAAGCGGCCTGGTGAATAAGTCTCTGACTTAAACCAGGGGTGGTGGAGGGACCGCTGGGCTTCGGCCAAACACCTCTCTCTCTCTAACTCAGTTACTTACACAATTGCCTATTTTTAAGAAAACTTATCGTATTTTGTTTTCACGATTGTTGTTAAATATTACCCCGATTGTTTATAATAATCAGAAACCAACCTACTCTCCTTTGACTACGCAACTTCATTTTTCAGGTCTCCACAACCTGGATTCACTAGGTCTGGCTCATAATCACCTTAGGGAGGTTCCAGCAAGAGTGTTCTCACATCTAACACAACTCAACTCACTAGAGCTAGACGGCAACCAGATCACTCACATTGATGTTGACGCATTCGTCGGTCTTGAGGGTAAGAAAACTATCTTTAAAATATCTAAAGTATATAATATAAAAAACGGTACCTGTGTAAAAGTTTTGCATTTTAATAGGGTTTGAAATTCGTTTCTTGAACAAAACAAATAACGCAATACACTTTATTTCTTTTCAAGATTATGTTCGTTTGATTCATTTATTAATTAAGTACAACTAATAACTTGCAGTATATTAAATCGTTTGCCTGTATCCCTATACCAAAATTGCTATTCGCCTACCATATAGGTTACAATGATCAATAAGTAGCATATGTATCCATTCTCATAAAATGTGTTGTCCCATGTTTTTTAACTGTTAAACATTCAACTGAAGGGTCTTCTGTTAGATTACAATCCACATTTAAACTGTTAAAAAGGTGGTCAGTAGCACTGTTTCTTTAAAAGCGAATCCTAAAAATAATACTTTAGGGGGTGAGGCAATAAAGGAAATTAGGGTAACCTTTTAGTTACCATTCATCTCTCCGCTACGTCTTCATTTTAAAATGTACACCTCCATCGTAAACATTTGTTAAGTACAGTGGTTGAAGCGGGATTTTATAATAGAAAAAGCCCTTTTGTATTAAGGGCAATGTTTAGACAAAATGTAGACTGTTAGTAACTAAACCTAGCGTCGTATGCAATTTTTTATGTATATCAAGAATATCTTTGGTATAAAGGTCTAAGGTCTAATAAGTATAAGGAGAACAAGGCTGCGCGGGTCAGAACTGACGTCAGATGAAGTAGACACATTAAATAGACAGTTAAAATTCATTAGAAAAAAATACTTTATACAACGTTTTTCTGAGTAGTCATATCACGAAAGCAACCAGAATGTCTAAAACGTCAGTATCAACCGAAGATTATAATTGATCGTAATAAAAGTACCCATTCTAATTCGTCCAATACTCTCAGACCACCTGACAAAAAGCCTATAAAATTACTACTTAAAATCAGGCAGAAAGTCGTGCCTTTCAGCAATATCGTTTATGCCATTTCACCGATAAGAGCCCCACTTTTATGGCTAACCGGGTAGCTGCAGTGCAGATAAAATATTGACGTACGTTTTTACTGTTAGGCGAATTTATGGCTGGGCGTAATGCGAAAAAGCTAGCAACGGGCCATTTAGCAGTTCTGGGCCGATAAAACAATTGAAATAAAGATAGAACGGTTCTCTGGAGTTTTCAAAACGTTCTAAAACAGTATCTTTGGACTCTTACGTACTGTAAAGTAGATTTGTAATTTACCTAAATACTTCTACATAGTGCATTTATTGGTTTGTTTTTAATAGTAGCCTATATGTATTATATGTTATAAAACGTTTGCATAAATGTATGTCTTAGTATAATTGCATGTTTGCAATAGGTAATGGAAAAACAAAAATTAAAGGGTTGTGATTAAAGAAATCATTTACTGCAGAACATTGCCAACATTTTTTTACATTTTGACTTTTTATACACAAATTGAAATACATCGTTTTGTGCAGAAGTTGCACAACTGCAAGAAAATGTTAATTAGGGTTTCTTCAATAAACGATTCGCTAATTATGGCTTCTAAAGTGTGATATCTACTTTAAATACTCAATCAAAGTCCGTACTAATTCAAGTATTGCATTCAATTATACATTTAAATTAAAAATATTTTCCAAGCAGCAACCTGGCGTACCCAGAGAAACTGCAGTCCTGTCAAAGCGAATTTGTTCTGAGATTGTGCTCATTTCATTCTTTCGGGACAGCGCCTTAGTTCCGGGTTCACACTGATAATCTGTTCTAAATGGTACGTGCATTAAGTCTCTTTTATGAAGTAGTGCCTTTCGGAGAAGCGTCTTTTACACAAATGCTGAAAATGATTTTCGGAGTTACGCATGATCGTGCAGAATCTGGAACACCTTCTAGCATCTGCTGTAGCATTTTGTTGGGATATGTGTCTTTCGGAAGGTCTTTTTGAGCCTAGAGAGGTAGTTTTGAAGTTATGCCTGACCACACATCCTTTCTGATATATAAGTGGATCAGTGACCCCACATTTGTTTCGGTGGAACGCCTTTCGAAGTCTATACTCTGTTGACCCTAGCTCACTCAAATGCCACAACCTAACCTCCCAACTGTTCACAGAGAACCTGCAATACCTCCGCCTCGGCGACAACAACCTTCACGAGATCCCGAGTGATGCTCTGCGTCGTCTGCATCGCCTTCGTCATCTGGACCTGAGGGCCAACAACATCACAGTCATCGCCGAGGACGCCTTCTCTGGCTACGGGGACTCCATCACCTTCCTCAACCTGCAGAAGAACGAGTAGGTTATCTAGAGTTACAGAAGAACTAGAAGGTTATCTAGAGTATTATAGAGAAGAACTATTAGGTTATCTAGAGTATTATACAGAAGAACGATTAGGTTATCTAGAGTATTATACAGAAGAACTAGAAGGTTATCTAGAGGATTGTGCAGAAGAGCGATTAGGCTATCTAGAGTCTTTTTTCAGAAGATCGAGTTGGGAGAATATTTCACATGGGAAAAGTAGGTTATATTTTGCAAAAGAACGAGCAGTGAGTGCTTTTTACAGAGGAACGAGTGTAAGTTATCTAGAGTTTGTTTCTGAAGAACGAGTCGGGGAAATATTTCACTTGGGAAATTAGGTTATCTAGAATATTTTACAGAAGAACGAGTAGGGGGAGCAATTTATAGAGGAATAAAATGTCCTATATAGGGTAAATGCTACAGTTATTGGCACCTTAACGGCAAGCTTCGGAGAAATCTGCCACAGCTCCTTTGCAATACTTTTTTTAATATCTATGTTTTTATAATCATGTAGCAGAATGTACGGAGAATACTGGGATGTATAAAGAAAATATATATACCATTACTTAAGTTTATTAAAAAATGAAAATGTTAAAAAATACAAAAACCATAGTTATTGGCACCATCAACCATAGCTATTGTCACATCTTGGCACAGTTATTGGCACCTATAAAAAAGTCTACAAATATTACATTTTAAGCGTCCTAAGGTGGTCTTTGTTGTCTTAGGTGTGATGTATGCCTAATCATATTATTTATAGTATATAGAAGAAAAAATTAAAATTATACAGTAAGTAAAATTAAAATCATTAAAATTGCTCATAGTAGGCCTTGGCAACACCTTTACCGAACTTAATACCGTCTTTATACATATTAATTGGTATTGGTTCGTCGTAATCAATGCCATCAAAATATTTCCTATGAAATATTTCATTACAACGTTCACATTTTACCATTTGTAGGCCTATTTTTTATTTTTCTTTGTTAAGTATTTGATCCTGATTGGGGCTTTTCGACGGAATTTTAATGGGTTTAAACATGATATGATGGATCGGTTTCTGGTTAAAAATTTAATATGGTAAAAAAGTATATTGGCCTGAATAAATGATTTTTTACAGCATATACTCATGTTACGATAACTTAGAGACTTCCATGACAGTAAATGCTGTTACTGGCAGTGTCACCTGTTACCAGTGACTACAGTCATTGGCATGCCAATAACCACAATAATTACCAGTGCCAATCAGCATTAGTGTATTTACCACAGTTATTGGCATGCCAGTTACCACAGTTATTGGCAGTGCCAAGGTAGTGCCAATAACTAAATCACTACATATTTTAGACACAGTTGTTGGCACCCTCATATATTAGGTAATTTTAAGTATATGGGTAAATGGGTGGCGGGAATAGACAAATCAGTCCTTCCTAATACTAATGAAATAATGAAAACGTAATTTTTAACGTTCAGTTTTAATAGGAAACAATAAACAGGTATTTAAGTCCTTGTCAGATTCTTAAGGAAATGTGAAGAATCAATACAAATCGGCTAAGCATTTGAAAAAAAATTCTGTGCAGGTTAGCATGGCCTCTGAAATAACCAAACACACAATGAAGTACAGAGAACTCATGTGGGCATCTCAGCAACTAACTCCCCTCTTCCACCGACTTTTGCATTTAGGTGTACGAGGCTTTGAAAAAAAGGTGCCAATAACTATGGTAGTGCCAATAACTCTAGCTCTTACCCTATTAGTATTTGACAGAAGAACATACTAAGTTGTTCAGAGTATTTTTCAGAAGAACGATTAGAAAGACAATTTACCAAGAAACTACTAGATTATCTAGAATATTTTACAGAAGAACGAGTAGGTTTTTTATATTTTAGAAGAACAAGTAGGTTATAGTATTGCAGAAGAACGAGTGGTTATCTAGAATGTAAGTAATAAGTATTCAAGTATTAGTGTGACAAATGTAGAAACTGTTTTCGCTGTAGAGACTTAATAGTTGAAACAAAACTAGTGCAAGAGAGGCAAGATTTTAAATTCGACACTGGATAGAATATATTAGCAATAGTAAATATAATGTAATTTTGACCCTAACCCAACAACTTTACCACTAAACACACACATATCACCACACTTAAGCATGAGTTTTTGTACAAAATCATCTCAACTCATGTTGTGTCAGCATCAAGATACTACCAGCTATGGCGTTTGACAACCTCAACTCCCTAGAAACGTTGAACCTCCAGAACAACAAGTTGACTCATATTCCCGAGGAGATCATGGAGCCCATAGTGGACACGCTGCGAGTGGTCGACATCATGGGTAAGGCTGCATGAGTAAAATATACTCTAATTCGCGTACGAACTTCCATAAGAAAAAAGTCAAAAATTTCGATACGAACATTTTCTGTGCCATATTGTTATCAAATACAGTATGCATATTGCCTCTTGTTTTTACGTCATGTTGGCAAATAAACCAACAAATACAAATATAAACAAGAACCAAAGACAGCTCTTAATTAAACTTCTATTTACTCCACGAGCTAGTCTTCCTCTGTTGAGAGTTTTAATTATACAACCCTATTGAAGAAGCTAATAAGCTATTCTAGCTAATATAGCTATACAGAAGTCATTATTCTTGCAATGAAAGATTTAAATAGGTTCTTAATCAGCATCGTACGTGTTATTAAATTTCCTGAATGTAAAAAAATACATAAAATAAAACTTGTAACAGTATATTTACACCTAAACTGTTTACTAACAAGAGGTATATATTATACAAGATGATAAGTGGTGATCGATTTTGATTGGACGCTCCAATCATCATCAACATCCGAATATTCATCGCCTATAGGGTCTGATAATGATTGGAGTGTCCATTCGACTTACCATCTTTTATATATATTTACCGTCTTGTGAGTAAACAATATAAGTGCAAATATAACTATTACAAATGTTATTTAAAGTATTTTTGTGCTTTCAGGTAAATTAATAACACGTACGATGCTGATAAAGCTATTTAATGATTAAATCTAAATCTTTTCACAGACAACCCTCTCATCTGCGACTGCCAGTTGCGCTGGTTCCGCGACTGGATCAAGAACCTCAAGGACAAGGACGACGAGATGATGCAGAAGAAGAGGACGTTGTGCACGATGATGCCGGAGCACCAGGAGTACTACGTGCAGAACCTGCCTCTGGACAAGATGAACTGCGTCAGCAAAGGACTGATACGTGGGAGAGCGTCAGCAGCAGTGGCTACTTGTATGCTGCCTTACGTGCTGACGACCGTTGTGACGTGCTCAGTCAGGCCGTGGACACTTCTCTAAGAGGTCAAAGTTCAACGCGAGAGTGCGCTGTGTCCATCCGGAGACATCGGTTTATTCCTAGAACCATAGACAAATAGAATGAAATGTAGACATCCGTGTTGTGGTTAGCATTAGTTCTGGCGTCCATGGCTAGGAGCGCGGTATTAAGGCGCAGGAGCTATGCAACTACACGACACTCCAAGCGGTGGATGCCAGAACTAATACTAACTGCGGCACGGCTGTCGGTCTATATTTCATTTTTATTTGCTAGATCGAATGGTTTTTCACTAGAATAAATTCAAAGGCTTCGTACCTAGTAACGAATTGTTTGATCGATAAATACCACTAATCCAAGTTTGTGTAACCTCATTGCACGTTTAGTTTAGTGTCCTTGAAGCCTAAAAGTTCTAACTCATAAAACAATTGAAAAAAACAAAGAAAATGTATAATTTAACAGTGCACTAGGCCTATATACCGGGTGTCCCACGAAGAGGTCCCTGTTTTTTAATTGACATGACAGACGAATAGAGTACGTGCGCTACGGACTTGAAATTCTACAGTCGTGACTAACACATAAAGGTGTTGCCCCCGAATATCAATTATTTCTGACTGATCCAAACAAATTGGCGGAAACCACGAATGCTGCAATCGTATTTTAAGGTATCGAAAAGATCCCGCCATTTTTCCTAATGTGTCAGAATTAACTGATACTCAGGGGTATTTCTTTTACATGTATGTTAGGACTGCTGAGTTTAAGGTTTGTAGTGTGTTCGGAGCGTCTAATCTATTAATTCAAAAATAGGGACCTCCTCGTGAGACACCCGGTATATGACTATCACTTTGGTGTTTGAAAACATGTTTTGAAATGGTAAATAACTCTTCAGCGGCTGTTTGAAATTAACGAAATTAACATAGCTCTTATGGTGGTCAAATCAAAGATGGCCGTTTGCTTTTATGGACTCCCTTGGAAAACAACTCAAAACTACAAAGAATTTCTAATCCCACAGTGTCCTATATATTTAAACTATAATCAATTTAATGTTTGAAAAACTTTTTTTGGGTAGTAACTAACTCATCAGCAGCCGTTTGAAACTATGCAAGATGGCCGCTTCAAGGACTCTTACATCTGCGTTCCTTCTAAACGCTGAATACTCTTGTCAAAGGAGAATGATTCATTTTATAAGCGATAAATTATTTAATACCATCCATCCTGTACGATACGTCGTCATCGTACTGTACGTTTTGGGGTCAGGGATGGGGCGTTGTAATAAATACACTTGTTACATTTTAAAAGGGCTCAGAGGGCCGCAAAGGGTATACGGTGTTGACGGGACTAATACATGGTGTGGACTGACGTGAGGAGAGGGGATTTAGGCTTGTTCGGAAAGGTGGTGTGATGGTGGCGTGATATGACGTCACGGGAAATAGCCATGAGCTGTTTTATTAGAAATATCGCCTGATTTTGCATATTGCCAACCTAAACAGAAATTGTGGTTACATGATGGTATGAGTGTCAAACTATTGTAACATTATGGTACAAATTATCAGAATATGGTACAATCCTCCCCTCTTAAGTTTTGTGATGCTATCGGTTACTATAATCTTGAAAACTTACAATCACAAATAACAATACCAGAATATCTTATTAATTTATTATTATATTTGTTTGCCAACCATTTAAATGAGAATGAGAATCAATCAATCATCAGTTCTAAATATATATATGTATATATGGTCAAAATTCACACATTAAAAACACAAGTAAATTAAACACACACTTGAAATCATAAACCTTAATAGCATTAAACATTGAACCTTGATGATATTAAATAATGATAACACACATAATGGTACACACAATTCAATAAATACACATTTGAAAATCATTGATAAGGATATATAATAAATAAATCTATATACAAGTCATGTCCGGGTATTCAATTAAAGGTCTAATCTTATTACAGGTTTGCGCTCCCGTACAGGAAAGCGTCTAGTAGGCGTCTGTCTGTTTACATTTGGCGATTTGTTTACATTTGGAGGCGAAGCCAATGACCCCGCTCTTTCAATGTTTTGGTTTGCGTCAGGTGACCTAGTCAATATCGGAGTTTTCTGCCCGACTGTGCCCGGAAGAGCTCGCATACCTTCGCTACTGTTCCCTGTCAGTGTGCGCTCTGGCGAATTTTGCAATGTTGCCGGTTTTCTGTCTGGAAGCGACGTTGTCAGATCGTTTTTGGGAAATTCTACTACTAAATCTGACTGCTGCCCTAGCTTAGACTGTAAAGCTATCAACTGGTCTATGTGACGCTTCCACTGAACGCCTGATTCTAGTTCAACTAAATAAGTTACAGGACCCAGTTTTTCAATAACTGTAGCCTCTATCCATCTCTCCCTTCCCCTGTAATCTTTAGCTAATACAGGTTGATTAACAAATAATCTACGTGTTGTGACACCACCATAAGCTGAAACTTGTCTGTTTTGATTACTACTAATGACATCCTTCACATTAGGTCTAATTAAGTCTAACCTTGATTTCAGAGATCTGCCTAACATTAACTCTGCTGGTGTTTGATTGGTTGTGGAATGTACTGTATTTCTGTATGTAAACAAAAAATTTGATAATGCTAAGTTCAAATCAGAAGTGTCTTGTAGTGCTATTCTAAGTTTGTGTTTTACTGTTCTTACAGCATTCTCGGCTAAGCCATTAGTCTTTGGGTTGTATGGTGGAGAAAATGTGTGTTTGATTCCATTTTTTTGCAAAAATGTTTGGAATTCTGTACTTGTGAAAGGTGGTCCATTGTCACTGACAATGTGATCTACTAAGCCAAATCTAGCAAACAATTCTCTAAGATGAGATATTGTGTGTTTTGCTTGCGTTGATGGAACGGGTAACACTTCCGGCCACTTTGAATAAGCATCTTTAATTACTAAAAATAACTTTGATTGAAAAGGTCCGAAAAAATCAATATGAATCCGGGACCACGCCTTATCTGGTACATTCCAAGTGTGCAAAATCGACTTGGGCGGAGTTACACGTTCCTTCAAGCATGATGTACAATTACCAGCAATTTGTTCAATATCTAAATCGATATTTGGCCACCAAACATAGGATCTTGCCAACGCCTTCATTCTTACTATCCCTACATGGCCATTGTGTAATTCTTGTAAAATATGTGTTCTAAACTTGCTTGGGATGACGATCCTGTAACCCCACATTAGGAGTCCTTGTTCAAAAGTTAATTGTGACTGTCGCACAAAAAATGGATTTAACATAGGATCCCTCTCATTTACGTCATTTGGCCATCCAAATCTGACATAACCTATTACTCTACTTAGTATAGGATCTAGTGCTGACTCTCGTTTTACTTCTACATAACTTAGAGGAAGTTCACTCTCAATTAAACATTGTAAATAGGTACCTACAATATTTACATTTAAGTCATTGTCATTGATTTCATCGTTCACAGGATTACTTACTGGTAAACGTGATAGACCATCAGCATTTCCGTTACATTCGGATTTAACATAAGAAATGTCGTACTGATAACCTGATAAAAACAATGCGTAGCGTTGGAGCCTACTAGCTGCAAATGCAGGTAAACCTTGTTTAGGTCCAAAAATAGCTACAAGCGGTTTGTGGTCTGTTTTTAACAAAAAATGGTTACCATACAAGTACTGGTTGAATTTTTTTACTCCATACACTATACTAAGAGCTTCTTTGTCAATCTGTGAATACTGCTTTTCAGTATCATTTAACACTCTACTTGTAAATGCAATAGGTCTTTCAGTACCGTCTGTTTGAATTTGACTTAGAACTGCACCTATACCATAGGCACTAGCGTCACATGCTAACGTTAACTTTAACTTAGGGTCAAAATGAGCTAGTACTTGGGCTGATACTAGTTTTTGCTTAACTTCTTCAAAAGCTTTCTTACACGCTAAATTCCATACAAATTCAGTGTCTTTCCTCAATAACATATACATAGGGGTAAGTATGGTTGAGATTCTAGGTATGAAACGAGCGTAGTAGTTAACTAAGCCTAAAAATGCTTTTAATTGGGTGACATCTTTTGGTTCTGGGGCGTTTACAATGGCTTTGACCTTGTCTTGTGAAGTTTCCAACCCTCGTTTGCTTATGACAAACCCTAGATACTCTAAACTTTCACAGAAAAATTTACATTTACTTTTACTGACTGTGAAACCATTGTCTTGTAGTCGTTTACAAACTAACTTTAATTTACTAATATGTTCAGAGTCATTTTGTCCTGTTACAAGAATGTCATCTAGAAATACCGCTACACCTGGTATTCCTTGTAAGGTTTGCTCCATTGTGCGCTGAAAAATACCAGGAGCAGATGATATGCCATAACATAATCTATTGTACTCAAACAAGCCCTTATGGGTACTAATTGTACATAACTTTTTACTTTCATCATCTAGTCTTAGTTGTTGATACGCTTGTGACAAATCTATTTTAGAAAACCTGTCTCCATTTTGCAAACTGGAGAACAATTCTTCAATCTTAGGTAAAGGGTGTCTGTCTATCTCTAAGAAAGGATTTAGCGTTACTTTATAGTCTCCACACAATCTTAACTGACCATTTGTTTTCAAAACTGGTACTACAGGGGTAGCCCATCGGCTTGAATTTACTGGTGAAATAATACTCTCAGCTTCTAAACGTGCTAGTTCTGCTTCTACTTTATTTTTAAGTGTGAAAGGTAAGGTCCTTGGCTTATGATATTTAGGGGTTGCATTAGGTTTTAGTTTAAGTTTGACTGGTTCTCCCTTAAAACAACCTAGCTTGTCTGTGAAAACATCAGGGAATTCCTCATACAACTGTTTAACTAGCTGCTTGCCCTGCTGATGTACTGTGACATTTGTTTGTTTGTTTACATTGGTAACTGCGGTGTCGGCCACCTCAGTCGGCGCGCTAGTGTCGACCATTCTGCTAGCAGAACAGCTGACAGGTGTACCAACTGAGCTGTCATCCACAGCTGATTGAACATTGTTTACTTTACTACTATTTTTGATACTAACAACTAGCTGCAGTGCTTTCATCCAATCCCTACCTAACAATGGGTTTGCACCGTTAGGGACAACATACAGCTCTAATTGTTTACAAATACCTTCATGTTTTACATTTACACATAGTTTACCGATAGGTACGATCTTTTCGTGTGTGT